ACTAATTGGCTTTTCACACAAGTTTCTAACAGCTTAGCAAAGGTATTTAAAAGTGATCGATCGGTAATTATTCATTTGCAATGGATCAGCTGCCTTATATACTGGAACAATGAGTGCTGTTTTTAGACTAGAAGGAAAGTAACCTAGCTTTATACATAAATTTAAAATGTGACGTAATATTGGGACAAAAATCTTAACATTTTCTTTTATAGTATTTATGGAAATACCATCAAAGCCAACAGACTGTTTATTTGGTTTGCTTAAGATTAAACTTTCTAATTCTACCTCAGTAATTTCAGATAAACGTAACCTTGAGCTGCACGCTAGACCGATATCCGGCATGGCGGGGAATCCCGGCCCATACAATTCTCTAATCAGCTTATCCGGCATACCAGTAAAATTGTTATTGAATGAGTCAGCAACTATTTTTTCATTACCCTCAACCTGTACAATTTCATCATCTATATTAATCGATGTTAGTTCATTTTTTGACTTTCTCATAATAGATTTGCATATATTCCAATAAGACTTTGATGCAGCCCTTTACTGCTTCAATTTTAGATGAGTAATAATTAATTTTTTCCCGTCTTTTCAAATTAGAACATTCTCTAGAGAGTTCTTTATATCTATTAAACAAATGTATGTCATAGTGCTTTTTCAATCGAGAGTGAAGTCTGTTTTTTCATTTATCTTTTTAATTAGTGTGTCCGATATCCATGGAGTTCGATGCCTATTTTTACTGTTAATAGGCCTTAAAAAACTTGATTGCTCAATACATTTATTATAAATATCGTAAAAAACTGTTAGAGATTTATCAACATCCTCACAATCAAACACTGGCATCCAGCTCACTTCAGCCAACCTTCTTTTTAAAATTGAATGATCTACAGCCTTGACAAACTCCTCTTTCAAAGCACTATCACAACTTGTTACGCAATTTACATTAACTCCAGCATGATCAGTAAAGTCATAGTTTTCTAAATTACTATGAAAAATTAAATTAGTCTTACTTCTGATGAATACATGGTCTAAACACTTTACCCAATTTTCTCTCCCCCAAGTTGGCTCATTTATAAACGACTCAAAACCAAATGAGTTCATTATACTTAAATAATCAATGACACTGTTATTTTGTTCTAAAATGCATAAATTTATATCTCCTAACATAATAGCTGTGTTTTTACAATTACTCAAAATACGTTGCAAATCATTGCGGAAAAAATAAAAATCATATTTATAGTTTCTATACAAAGCTATTAAGTCAATTTCAAAAGGTTTATCATTTATGGTAAAAACTAATGTCAGTTTAATTAATTCAACTTCACGTGACTGAAAGCGTTCATAATTTAAAGTTAAATGATTAGAAATATAAATTACCACTCCACCAGTCTATGTGTATAAGTTGAGACACGTTTGTAGAAAACACTAAAAAGGCAATCTTCTAAACAATTTTAAAATATTTACAACTTTAATTATATAGAAATGTTCATAACACAGTAAGTAATTCCATTAGTTGCATAAGCTTTTACGTGAGTCTTTTTAATTAATTGAAAATTAAGTCTGTAATAACTCTTAAAATAGCTCCTGTACCGGTACTTGATAATTGCTTGATTTCTAGCAACGAGTACACAAGTTAAAAATTCAACAATGCATTAACATAACAAGCTCTCTTTCACGCTGCAAGACTAGTAAACGGCAGAAGTAAGGCAGAACGGCAGAACTGCGGTATTGGTTTACCATACACGCCTGCAACGATGCGCTGCAAACCGCGCGACGAGTAGCTAAATGAACCGTAGAGTAAGTGAGCCTTCTAATATTTGTAGAGGGTTCACTTACTCTACAGATCATTGTGCCAATGAACTGTAGAGTAAGTGAGCCGTCTTCTATTTGTGTAATAGTTATCATGAAATAGGCTCGTATAGTATACGAGCCTACTCCTGTAATTTATTTAAATTCAGTATTTTGGCTCGTATACTATACGAGCTTATTCCTGAATTATTCAAGAATTCATACGCTTGGCTCATAGGCACAATGATCTGTAGAGTAAGTGAACCCTCTTAATTTATTTGATATTTTTGATCGGCTCGTATAGTATACGAGCCTGTAGTGCAAGTGAACCTTCAATATTATTTACGAAGCTCGTATAGACTATGATTTGTAGAGTAAGTGAGCCATGTGTTTTAAGAATTACATATTTGGAGGCTCATTGTGTCAATGATTCGTAGAGTAAGTGAACCCTAACCTTAATTTGGGGCGTTTATAGTTTTATTTTATGAACAGAACTATTTTTTCTATTAGTAAACCATTATTCAATTTTTTCATTATCAGCAAGTTTGGTTAGTTAGGTTAGGTTATGACAGTTTAATTAAACAATTAATTATATATTTTTTTTAGTTTTAGGCCTATAATAATTTTTTTTGAAAATTTCTAATTTTTAAACTCTTATTTTGTCCGTATAAAAAAACTGCAGCTGAAATAAAAATCGTGCGATTAGGCAGGCAAGCGGAGGGAAAACTAAAACAAACAAACAACAAACACATCACTAAACACAATCGACCAATTAATTAATCGCAACTCGCAACACAACACAAACTGGACTGGAAATTTGGTTGGTGGTTAGGAATACTACTCACAATTTAATTTATGTTTTATAATTTACCTAATTTATGTTTCACGTGGTAGTCAATTTTACTATGGTGTAGGCCTAAATGAAAAGTTGCAAAATCAACTGTTTACCTTGAAGTAAGTTACATGAACTGGACAATTAATTCATACTAGATAGCCTCTAGGCCTAGGCCTAGCATACTAACATACAGTAAAAAATCTATTTAGTTAAGATCCTTTGGTTCTTACACAGATGGAGTAGAATGTCAAGTTGAAGGATGAGTAAGAGGGGGAATGTTTTAGCTTCTCTCTAGTTTTAATCTGTATTTAGGGCCTAGGCCTACATGGGAGTGAAATGTCCAATAATCTAACCTAACTTAACCCAACCCAACCCAACCTTAACTCAATAATTAAATCACATTTTATGCCAGAAAAGGCATGTGAGGAAAATAGGTTGGACTTTATGTGGATTCGTGACTGTATTAAGCTTAAGTGTTTTGAATTAACCCTCCGAGTGTCCCTTGTTTTGGCTTTAATGTCTACCTATTTTTTGCTCATTTGCAAGGTTTTATTAAAACGGATCTGAGAAGCTTGAAAACAATGTTAATTATACTGTTCTATATAACATTTTGTTTGGAAAATCACGGGCTTCAATATTATACATAGAACATAAGGAACATTAAATTCAAAAAAATTTTTAGGTAAAAAAAATAGGCTATTTGAAAATTTTCAAAAAAAAAATAAGTTTGCGCTCAATGAAATTGTATAAATTATAGGCCTATAAATATTTGAAAATAGCCACTTTGTTCTAAATTTTATGAGGATTACAAATATATAATTATATAAGGAAGTAGATTTGCAAATAAATAAGTTATGGGCAAAAAACAGATTTCAGTACATAGCGTTTAGCTAAGAATGCATAGCCTAACCATAGCTAGGATTCTGGCTGATAATTTACATCAATATCACTACCTACTTCTTCAGGATCATCAACCAGCCCTTCAAAATCACTTAAATCTTCTTATAATGCACCACGTATATCACTACTTTTGATTTTTAACACTAAAACACTGATAAACGTAACAAAACACATCAGTCATCGGTCCGAGGATAACCAAGCTGTTTACAAATACGCACGTCAGCTGTCTGCTAAAATATTTTTGGAACTAAAATGAATAGCGCTTAGAGACAGACCTCCGGAGAAAGCTCTGAATCTGTAAAATAAAACGATACCTAACTCGATCCAGTTCAATCCGATTTTGTCAGTCATAGAGCCTTCGCCGTAAACAGTGTTTGTGAGTCGCTGCAGCGACAAATAACACTCGGAGGGTTAACTTAGGTAGGTAAGTTAAAGGTTAGGCTATATAGAAACAACTCATTAATTTATACTAGGCCGTAGGTTTACTTGTTTGTACCAAATTTCATCAAAATCGGATCATTTTTGCTTGAGTTATCGTGCTAACGGACATATATATATATATAAATATATATATACTGTTATACCTATATATATTTATACATGAATTTGAACGGATGGTGTTTTTGGCCTCTAAGGACCTCAAAATGAAAAATTAAATCTGTCGCGGGTCCAGGTCTTACCATGAGTAGGCTACTACGGTAATAGCTTATTCCCTAGCCTAATGGAAAATTGGCTAAAATACACCAAAAATTCAATAATATTGAAAATACACTTCTAGTCATGATCACTTACCGGTAACTTTAAAGTTACTATTTGTTTAAAAGCTCGAACATCACATGGCTAGGTCTATTTTCAGGTTATGGATCTTACAAATAAATCTACTGCTGAAATCATTCAACGACTGGAAGATTCTTTGACGGATTGTGATGCGTTACAGTGTTTACTGAAACCACTACTCATATCCTTTCAAAACCTATTAAAAATAGTTTTATAATTTTTAGGTGCTACTGGTAAGTTATAGTTTTTGTTTTCTTTATATATTTGAAGTTGTAGCTTCCATTAAAGACTTTTATAAAATGCATTCATCTTAAACTGTGCTACAGTATAAGAAGGTACCTGTGTAAGCATTGCATAAGTTTTCTCCTAAATTATTTGACATGTTTTTAATCATTAAAAATACCTGGAGACACTAAAACGTGACTAGCTTAACTTAGAAGGTATTTAACTTAGGGTGAAATCCAAGATCAATAAGACTAAATATAAAGCTAAACAAGTTATTTAAAATAAGGTCATCATGTCCAATAGCATTCTGTAATGTTCAAATGAATTGGGTTGTTACATAAGTAACTTATTGAGTACTTTTCCCTTGGATTAAACTCAGGATATCTTATTCTTTAGGTTTTTGTGGTTGTATATTATATATAGTTTTTGGCTAGTATAATTGTATAAGAGTTTCCTTAACCTGACAATACAACAGCTTGCAAGGCGGAGGGGTTGATGAACTACTTCCTCATGCGATTTCGCAGATTTATAGATCAGGGGTGCAAGTTTTACCTGCGGATGAAGTAGATAGCACGCTTTTGGTACAATTCCTACCGATAACAAAGAATTTCCTGTCTAAGGTTTGTACTAAGTTACCAACAGCAGTTGCTTTCATATACTTTTACTTGTACTAGCTATCATGTACTTATACAATCGTGCACTTTTCCAAGTTCATTATCATCAGTTGGGCTTTAGTGTCCCAGTTGTGCTAAAAAGCCTCTTACAATCATTGTTTTTTTTCCCTTTGGTGCCAGAAAAAGATGGTAATGTTTATGATAAACATCCTCCAATGGCGAATCTCCCAAATTTGAGAGTTGTCTGTAAATTAAGGTCTCCTAGCTGTGGTTCAAATCCGGAACCAAAGTCGATTTTTTACTTTGCCAACTACAATTCTAGCTTGTTCCCACACTTATACAATGATTTAATCTCACCTTAGTCAAGTGGTAAACTTTTGTGAGAGAAAATTGACGCTACCACCAACTATCAATCGTGTTCTGTGATTAAGTTTCTGTTGGAAGGAGGTTAATACTTGTTGAAATCTGTTACCATTTGACTATAATTGTTAAATACAAAAAGTATGTAGATGTTTAAAATTAGCATGCCTAAGAGGCTTAGCGAGTTCTCAGAAGGCCATAGCCTACAAATTTGCTCATCAGGGCTGGCAACAAGTGTTCATCAGTTTCCATTACGACAGAGATTAAATTTGTGGAAACTTTGCATACTGATCGGATTGTTTAAGAATTCCAGGACTTATCCCGTGACATTATCCCGTACATTATCCCGTGACAGTGATTTTGAGACGTCTCATATCAGTTTGGGAATCTCTAATGCTCAGTAATACCACGATCTGCATGCAAAAGTCCTCCAACTTTAATAACTGCCTCATATACGAGACTGATGAACGACTTAGTCAGCGTAACCGATTGACCATCTCACTCTTTGCATCCCTTGCGCACATTTTCTTTGTCCAAAGACTATTCTTTGACTTCAGTCTCGATTGATTGAGACCAGAAAGATCTAATCATAGAACGTAATACTTGTCAGAATTGTAAATTTACCTTCACGTTTTTGAATACTATTGTCAAGACTAATCGTCCTTAATGGGTGAGAAGTGGCTAAAATCGTAATGGATGAAGTAAAGAATTTATTACAGATTTCAACTAACTCTCTTCGCTACGACAGGAGCATGATGGAGACCTTAATGTAAGGACGACCCTCTTACATTAATGGTTTGAGAATTTGATTGGCCTCATAGAGTGTGTAAGGGGTATTTTTGGAGTATTGCTTAATTATTGTGAATGGTTAGATCCAAGAGGACATTAAATCCTAGTTGTATTTGGTATCGGAAGTGATCTTTTATCAACTTTAGAGACAATGTTTTATCAACTTCAATCTAAAAATTCTCTCAGATGACGCCAGATTTTATTTTAAAATGAAAAACAGTTTTGATTAGGTATCATAACAATCTACTAAAGCAATTATTTTGTTTGGATTAATATAATTAGCCTATACCCTATACTATAGGCTATTGTTTAACAATTTGTCTTGTTTTGTTTTTAGAAACTAAACATGAACCATCGGATGATTGACGAAGCAGATATTTTTGAAGACGACTCTTTGATACCAAATGTACTGAAGAACATTGAGGTTTGTATAAAGGAATTCCCCTATAGGGAAGTAGACAAAAAAATGTACTAGACTATCATTAGCAAAATGTACGTTACTTGAAAAAACAATCAATGGGAAAATAATTCTACCAAATACGTCTGTTGTCATTTTTAATCATATGATCATTTCCTTGTCATTCTATTTTTTCGATTTCCCCCAGTTATAAATATAATTTTCTTAAGTTTAAAAAACTAGCCTACAAAACTCATAAATTCAGTTTGGGTATGGCAATTTTTTTACTTTTGCAAGTTGGGAAGCATTGGTTACAAACTGACAGTGCAATTAGTAAATGGTGATCATGTTTCCTTCAGCAGCACCACAAAAAAGTTTTGGTAATAATTCTTCATAGATTGAAGCTGCTTTCTTTTCAGAGCTGTTGTACCTCCCCAAGTGTTGATTGTGTTAAATAATTTACTTAGTCCTGAGCACTATAATTTTTCCAAGTGCATTCCAACATCACCAGTCCAGGGCCTTTCTCTTCTATTCCCTGGACTGAGTCTTTTCTTCTTCACTGAGTCCAGATCGGGATCCATCGCCGCAACTCTTTCTCGCTTATTGGGGGTGGTGGTGGGGGAGGATTCCGGGTGACGAACCACCAAGTCGTTACAGCGCCTAAACCAAACATTAAGTTTTTTACCTTGAACATTGCAAATTGATCTGTTTCTGTCAAATGTTCAAAAGAAAATGATTTTGTTTCTAGGAGACAGAAATAGTTGAATTTGTTGTCTCCATGGAACCAAAACTAACCTTGTGTTAAAAGGTGGTTTGGATCCAGTAGTAGGTTGCTGTATTGTATTTGGTTATAGTTTTTACTGGATCTTTCAATATTATAAACTATTTTTTAATATTTTATTTTATATATGGATTTTTTTATACAGTAAACTAATCTGTTAAGATAGATGTACTCTTTTACATACCTTGCTTGGATTGTTATGATTTTTTCTTAGCCTGCAAATGATGAGTTTAAGTTGAATTGTAGACCTGATACTGGAATTATTTACTGAAATATTTTCTAAATTCAACAATAAGTGTTTGGAATGATTTTAAATTTTTTAAAAGACATTTTGAGGTCAGAAAATGAACCAGTATCAAACAGTTCTTTGATCTAAAAAAATGTATACTATTTACTTTGTGGATTTTTGAGATTTTTCTGGTCAGGCATTACTTCAAAGTCAGTTTTTTAATCACTTAAAAGTATGGTAAAGTAGGCTATTCACTCAAGTAAACGTTTGACAAATGAAATTTGAAATCCTTAAAGTTGACTAACAATATTTTGGGGCGTTTAAGCTATGATAATGGCAATTATTGTCGATTGATTGACTGTTACGGCAAAACCGTTCGTGTAGGAAACAACAACTGAACCACTTAATTTAACCAGAGGAGACAATTTACCGTGGATCACAGGCCCAAAGAGCCAGCTTTGATGATTAATAATATTAATTGAAACAAACTACAAAAATAGATTGTCTTGAGGCAGTAATTACTAATCAGACAACTGGACACAACGTGAACATAGTATTGAGCAAATTATTGATATTAAAAGGTGACACTGGAAAATACATTAAAGTAGTTGATAGGTGATATCTGAAACTAATTATTTACTGAAATAATTTAGTCTAACACCATACCTCTCAAGGGGCCTTACCCTCATGTCCCAGCAACTTATGCAGCCATGTTCCTGCCCTGGTGACGACACGGCAACCCGGGAGTCGCTCGCTTCTAATGTGCCCGCTCTTTGATGAGCACTTTGTCTTTGAAACAGTGTCTACAAATATTATCAAATTGAATCTGAATATTTTTTGTTTTAGATATGCATTCAAGTGTTAAGCGACATGGATAATATGTTGGCTTATCTAATAAGTTTTGACCAACTGTCTGGTTCTGATTTTCCAAGTGCTCCGAAGAACGTAGCCGAAGTCGTTTACTTGGTTTTCAGCCATTGTCAGAAAAGGTGAGCAATCAATGAACAAAATTGGTTATATTTTTAAGATATTTTTTTTACTTTTATGCTAGCGACCATTAACTGTTTTGGCTTAAAATCAACTAAGAGCAATATCAGAGTTCATGTATGAAGAATTAACAAGAATATTTACACTCAGTTCCTTAAAATATTAACTTTATAAAAATTATTATGTCTTTGTAGTACACCTAATCACGAAAACTTATTTAAGAATTCGGGCAAGTAGATAAAAGTCATTGGTTATTACGAATTATTTTAAAAATTGTTTAATAGGCCCTAAGTGAATTTGTACAAAGAAATCATGACAGGATAATTGAAATTGCGTTTTTTTTCAGCAAAACCGAGTACAAAGATGTGTTTTCTACTGTGAGAAGCGAGCTGATGTCTTTGTTTCAACATTGTTACCAAGTGCAGGTTAAACTGTTCACTTTACTGAATGAAAAACTTGTCTTCAACTGTGCGTTTGAAGAGGAAATTCAATCGCTAGTAGAGAGTAAGTGTTTAAGCTAGCATGTAATTTCTTAAGTAATAAGTTTTAAAAGATTTTAACACAGTTTATCTTCAAATATTCTTTAGTCATAAGAAGTTTTATCCTAGCCTATTACATTTGAACTCCTTAAAAACTCTCCTTTTTTAAGAAAGAAAGCCACAAACAGGCCCAAAACTTGATGCGTTTGTACTGTGGTATATATTTTATTTTAGATCAATACATACATACATGGTTTATTTATTGCTTCAAGGCCATGTGAATTATACATAAATATTAGTAAGTTTAGAATTAGAATATAGTTTAATTATTGACAATTTATCCATTACATTGTTGATCAATACCTACCTTAAATTCATATTCCGGTTTTTTTTTTTTCATTTATTCATACACCTAATAATTGATCTATCGTCAATTTAATATGTTTAGTGAACTCTTGGATTGTGAGCCAAGCTTAAGGGGTTTGCAACAAAATAAATAGTTAATTAATACTAACGATTTTCATAGTTAATACTAATATTTATGTCCTTTTGACATTTTCGGTCATAGGCAATTGAGAATTAAGAATCATTAGGTGGGTCTCTAGGTGGGTTGAGTTTTTAAACTGTGTCATTTGTAACACAAAAAAAAATTGATACACTATTGGTAGCACAGCACCTCTCTTTAATCTTTCAATAATACAAATCTATGTATTGTTACAGTTATTGACACGTTAAACTTAATGTCAGAAGTGGTGGCCGAGCTCGACACAATGAGTCTGGTCGCTCACTGGAAGGGGTTTGCTCAGCTGACGCAGACGTATTCGGCCCATCTTTGCTCCAGGCTTGATGTCTCCCGGCCAATCATCTATCTCTCGGCCAACATTGCTCATCAATTAGACAACCTAAAAGTCTACGTAAATGCTGGTTAGTAAGCCGTTAGCTGACATTGAGTTGAAAAATTATTGAAAAACATATTCAGTCGAACATCTATAAGACATTTCAGGGGGTAGGGAAAAAATTTGTATTATCGAGGTATTCTTAATAAAGAGGTTAATTTTATCGAGGTTTAAAACTGCCATTATTCGTATGAAGTTTTCTCCTCTGCTCAGGCACGTGCCAAACAATGACTGAAGAAGGAAGAGGGATGGGTGGGGGTTTCATGTTGAGACAAGCTTCTGTTTGTTTTGAAAACTACGTACTATGAAGGTTAAGATAATGAGAAATTTGTTTTATAGAGGTTGATTTCGTCTTGTAGAGGTTTTGTGCTAAGAATATTCGTTGCATATGGGTTAATTAGTCCAGCCCAGTTAATATATCACAAATAAGTTTGTCTTATGGAGGTTTTGAACCTAATTACTATTTTATATAGAGGTGTTTTTAGCATTGACCTTTTTGAAAGTTTCAAGGGGATTAAAATTTAAAAAACAATGTCGTATAGAGGAATTTGTTTTACCGAGGGTCGTACAAACAAGGTTCGACTCTACATAAGGGTGAATTGAGTAAGGTGTCCAGTATACATTATTTTTAATTGTTTCAAAATGGCTCTTTTTGTGATTTTTTTAATATCCAGGATTTATTTTTCAAAGTGCAAATATCTCTCCCATTTAAATTTCACATTCCTTATGAGCTAAGCTTTAATTTGATGTTCAATATGACAATATTATGACAAAACCAAATATAAAAAAAAACAATAACCGGTGAATAGCCGAAACTAAACAATTTCAAATAGCATATAATTTTACAGGTATTGCGATTTCAAGCAGCTTACAAATCTAATTGTTATCCATAACTCTTTTAGTTTTTGAGTTATCAACTTAAACGATCTTCCCCCATAATACATGGGTTAATTGTGTACAATTCCATTCTTACCTCTTTAGGACTTTTGACGCAGGATGTTACATTACCATGCATTTTAAATGTCGCGTTTACTATTTCACGCTTTTCATCACTTGAAACTTAAACTCTAATTTCAAATTGCAACAGAGTTCGATTTAAAGGTTAATAATACTTTGTGTAAGTGAATTCAATGTTTTTCAGATAAAAAGGTTGTCCTAAGGGCTTTGAAAATCTCCAGTTTGCAGTTAAAGGTTCTGATCAAACTGTGTGAACAATACAAGCATCATTTGGGCGACTGTCACTCTCAGCTGTTGTCTTGTCTTATCTCACTCACCAGGTTGGCTTGTTTTGAAATTTTTATTTGTGATTAAGATATTTTACGTATTTTTGAAGAAAATTAAGAATGAGGTTTTGTTACATATTGCATGCACATTAGTTGACAATCACATTAAGTTACAATTTAAATAACTGTTCATCTGTGTGAAGTTTCCAAGGCAATTTTTGAACTGGAAGAGATATCTAAAAAATCGCCAAATGTTAGGTTAGGTTTGAAAAAAAGTAACCTCTCCATTACAAACATAAGCTAACCAAACCAACATGTCTCTAATTCATTTTTGGCTTAAAATACCTATTGGTTGCCATTTAAATGAAAAGTATTAAAAGTATAAACAATCATTGAGCAAGCAGACCGTAAAAAATTAAACAGTGACCATACCATCTAAAACCGGAAATGTGACTTAACAATAAGAATGTTGAAACTCATGAATGGCATATTACCAGTAACATGCCTATGATAAGTGAAGTGTAGGCCTACTTAACAAGAGCACTTATTAATGTTCTATGTATTTTTTTTTACTTTTTTTAAATTTATTTTCTAAGTTCTAGCCTGGAACTGTTCTTACAGATTATTTAAGTTTAGTCCTAGAGGGTCGCGGCATTATCACATAGATAAAATCCTTAGTGATTGGCGGGATTTGAACCTGAGACCTTTGGAACTCATGCCTTACGCTCTACCACTAGACCTAATATATATTGTAAGTATTGTCCAAATAATAATTTATTTATTCTTTCGTACAGCCGCACCCAGCAGTCTCTGAGCGTGGAAGGGTTGACAGAAGATATTGCTGCTCAAGTTACAACACATCTATCAGCAGGAGCAGCCCCCCTACTCTCTCACCTTTTGGCCGACCCGGTGTTCGTCAAGGTATGTGGCTATTTAGCCAAGTATATTTATAGGTTAGCCCATTGACAACGACTTACGTTTGTATTGCGTGACAGCATTTTGCAAGCTGTCTTGACTTTGGTTGTATGAGTGTGGAAAAAAATATTTTTGTATAGAGGAAACTCACTTATGGGACGTGCGCTTTCAGCTCTAAAATGTTGTGCCGGAAATATACTTTTGTCAGGTAAGGAAGAGCCTGAGCGGCAAGCACTGTGCGGATATTTCTATTGCACAGGGCACAGGGTCTTCCTCCGCCGTGAGCATTGTAGTACATGAGGGCGAGGGGCGTGTTGTTGAACTTTTCCCTAGACACCAGCAACTAGTGCTAGGTAGATATCACTTAGGTGTACCATTGAATGGTTCCTCTGTACCTTACCTCTGTTTTTTTTTAACTATTCACATAGGCTATATGTTTCAGAACTATCTTCAACATGCTGATGAGCTGCAGTCTGGCACAGTTGCAACAAAGTTCGGCTTCTGCAATCTGACGAGCATGATTCTGAAGAAGTTCACCAATCCAGCCTCAGCCGACGATGAAGCTAAAGTGCTTTGGATCAAATCAACGATGCCACTTGTTGAAACTACCTTCAAAATACTCAATACTTGTGAGTATGATTGGATTTTGTGCAGTTTAGGTCAGAAAGAGGATGTGATTCGCTGAATTTATTAATTTGCTACTTCTTCCGGTCGGTCTTTGACTTCTGTCAAAGCATGACGAGTTAATATCCTGCCAAACACTAGTGGCTCTTAGCAATGAGATATTGAACTGATCCAGTAGTATAACCCCACTCTAAGCTGCAGTCATCTTGTAGAAATCTAAAATGGCCAGTCCCTCTGGGGAGGTTATAGGCTATCGGGGGTTTCTTCCAAATCAGGTAACACCCTCCAAAAAGCTTAAAATTTATATTTAGTTGGGGTGAAATTGTTTTGTAGATGATTATGATTTCTTATTCTTTGTTTTTGTCCTAACAATTTTTATTGATTCATGATTTTATAGATTCACGAAGTGGTAGTTTTTGGAATGCAATTACAGTACAGTAGAACGTCGATTATCCGAAGCCCGGTCATCCGAAACGTCGGTTAACCGAAAGGAAGAAAGAAGCAAAAATCAATAAAATCGCGCGCCAATCACGACTGGCCGTAGCGCTACGCCGCCGCACGGCTGCTAAGTGGTGAAAGTCTAAATATAGCTCAAAGGTCTGACCCTCCCCCTTCCCCCCAAACCCCTACTTCATTCAGTGTTACGCCCGCTCCCTTCGAGGTCATTGCACAACCCCTCCCTCCCTTCTATTGTTTTTCATTGCCAGTCACCAGTCACTAGTCAGTCGCCGGCGACTGCTTTGAGTTGACATATTCTGTTGTAACAGCTAAAAAAATAGGTTAGGACAACTACCTCTTGCTTATTTCTACAATGTAAAAATATTTGTATTACTGTAGAATCTACAGTAGTAAATATTATCCAGTATTTCACATAAACACAAGTTACATTTTAACAAATATTGATTTTTTACCATTTTAAACCAAACTCAACTCGAAACTGCCGAGTTAAAAAATAAGCTCGAGTTTTAAGGCCGTACTCGACTCGAATTTTAAATCTCAAGTACTCGCACATCTCTATAATTAATCAAATTTATATTATTGTACAGTATCCACAGACGCGAAATCGGCAAATCGCCGCCGGCCGCTATCCCTTCCCGTCATTTCCCGTTCCCCGTATTTTTTCCGTCAACGACCGATTATCCGAAAAATCAGTTATCCGAACAACCCCAATCCCCAATTAATTCGGATAATCGACGTTCTACTGTAGAACCTCTTTAATCCGAACCCCCGTAATCCGAACGTCCACTAATCCGAACCCCTCATTGCTGTACTCTATACACAGTACAGCAGTTCTTTATTGTATACTGTATTTAATGTACAGTACTGTTTATTCACCATGTTTACTACTGTATTAAATAAACACTGTATTTTAATTTATAAAACATTTTTTTCACTTTTCCCAAAATAATTTAGATCAATTTTAGCCATGTTTTAGCTATTGTTATGTAAAAACAACAATATGTTCTGTAATCCGAACTATTCACTAGTCCGAACTACCCCTGGTTCCAATTAGTTCGGATTAAAGAGGTTCTACTGTACCTTAGGTTACGTTGTTTTGAAGCTTTTTGATTTTGCAGAATGTTCTTTAATTAATTTCTTATATTTTACTACGGAGTGTGGCATCTTTTTTTAAGAACTTGCTACACTCCCTGAATATTTATGCATTCTTCAAAAACAAAGGCTTCAAAACAAAGTAACTTAAAATAATATTTCTAGTTCTTGCCTCTGGTAAAATAAGTAAAAGTAAAATTACTGTATTTTCTTTTTAGCGGATTTCCTATGTTGGGAATAAGCTATTAGGCCTCCATAGGTATCATGGTAAGGCCTATTTCGATCAAACTTGCAAAATGAATTTGATTTTATACTTAGCTATGATCATTTTACTAAAAAAACACGTTATTACCCTCCCTGTAAGACCAAACCTAACTACTCGTGAAATATAGTGGTATTTAAATAGGGAATTTAATCTGACTTGTTGAAGAAAATATTTAAGTGAAAATCCAATCAGGCATATGGGAATTTGCTTAGTCTGCAGGTTTGCTGTGACGGAGGTATCTTATAAAAATATTAAGTCACCATGTGTTTTCAGGTGAAGATGTGTTTTTCTCGTATGAGGAAGACGTGTACCAGACGCTACTGACTCACACCGCAGCATTCATCATTGCTACAACTTCCGTCGAAATGTTTTCTGACTTGGAGTCTATGCTGGTCAAACATCTGCTTCAACCATCCTTGTGGCCGGCTTTCTTTACCTCCGACTTGTTATGTCTCATCGCGAGGTTAGTATTGACCTCTCATAACTCTTTGCATTCAGTTGGCCAACCGTACTAGCCACGTTGACAAAAACAGCGTTTATTATAGATTTAGAGTTTGTCTCTACATATCACCCCTCAGTGGACGTTAAAAAATCGTGCCAGTGCTGCTAGCCTTTGAGCATTTGATGGTTTTACTTTGGCCCGTACCACTAGCAATTCGAATGACAGGAACAACCATAAATTTATGAGAGCAGCAGTGAAAAAGACAGCAACCTAAACTGATTAAGACAGTCTCTATGTGGAAAGGGTTAACTAACACAGATTGCTAAGAAAAACCTTACAAGCTGCAATCAATGAATTATTAGATTTTTTATAAAAGGAAATGACTATTGTTCTAGTTGTTTTATTGCCAAAATCTAGCCTTCTCTAATTTAAGGCCGCGTTGGTGTGTGGCAAAGTTGCACCTGGCCTATTGCCACAGTAATAACAGTAAAAACAAACAAGTAAACATAAATACTGTGTAGACGCTCTAATGAGTTAGAGCAACAGCTGTTTCAGTGGCTGAGACTGCGGTGTTGCCAAACTTTGGTCTTGCCAAGGCCTTGAGTTAGTGGTGGCTATGAAACTATGCTTACAATGTCTACAATGTTTGGATTAATCTGAAGGTCGCTGGTTCGATTCCAAGCGAGATTGTTACCGGACCCAGATGCCATTTTTCATTGGCCTAACTAACAGATGATATCTAACAGAAATTTCGACGTTAGATAGTAGTAACAAGAGTAGGGTTTGGACCGTTCCCTTCTGGATAACACAAAAAAAGTATCACACCAAGTAAATGGCCAGAAAATTTTAAAATGAATATCAATTATAAAATCTGTAAAACAGTAAAACACACTGTCTACCATATAAATAGTTAAAAACCTTACATAACCTACTCATTTTATGTTCTTCTTATGTACCTATTAGCTCAATCTTTATCTGGCTTTGGATCAACATTTTTAAAACCAACAAAATACTAAAGAGTGATTTTTTTTACTCGTCCCATTTTTCTGTTTGTTTGCAGGGTAGGTTCAGACAAGTTATGCCTCCAGTTGGTATCACTGTTGAGAGATTTGTGCTCGTGTTGGCCAACCTGGGACAGATGTCGGCCTGAGTGGTGTTACGTCACCTGGACAACGAGTCGCCTCACTCAGTTTCTCGCTGAAGATGATCGTAAAAGCTTCTCGTCACAGCTACCACACGTGACTGGAATTGCAACTGACTTGAACAACCTGCTCAACAAACCGTTTAGTAATGAATCTATCCAGCTGTATAATGCATTGGTGAGTTTAATTTCCCCCTGTTTTATTTCTATTTTTAAGGCTTTTTCCTGCTCTTCCGTGGGGAAACTTAACATTTTATATTAAAAATTACAAAAACGTAAAGAATTTAATTTATGCAATTTTTGGTGTCTAACACCTACTATAAATAATTCACAAATCACATTTCTTCACTTGACTTGTTTCAGACGAACAATTTGACCACTCTAAGAGACCACATAGACTTGTATCCTGATGTTGGAGCTACACTAGCTCAGCCTATCTGCCAGATGTGGAGTCACATGATGTTTCCAGAAGATCTCGAGAGTTCTGAGACTTGTGATTGGTTCTCTTCTCTCTTTTCTCTGTTGGTTTCCGTCTCATCTCACGTTGTCGTCAGTCTTGATACATCTCAGATTGTGAATGTAAGGAAACAGTTTTTTTAGATTCCAGTTTAAAAAAAATTAAACTTACTACAAAACAAATGTATTAAAAAAAAAACCAAAAAAGACACTACTTTAGTCTACATTATTGATTATAGTTTGTTATTCGGTAGGTATGAATTATTGTCTTTTTAATAGGTCGGTTTGTCCGGCCAATCAGTTATCAAGCCAGTCAGGGCTTGGTCCCGTGGTGGCCGGATACAACGGGGTTCTACTACACAAACTGTGTTAGACTCCAATGACGATAAGGTAATTTTAATCTCAAACAAAATCATAACCAATTATTTTCGTTTACCGTAGTATACGTTTTATCTAACTTTTATTTTTTCCAGATCCTCAATGTTTTGGACGACCTTTGTTCGTCATCCACCATTTTCAAGTGTGGTTCTTGCACATTTTTGAGAAGCCTCGCCAGCAAACTCCTCCCCAGTGATTCTAACCAGAATCTCGTTTACAACGAAATATCATCTCTATTTGTCAAGTTGTTGTTGGACAGTAACCCTTTAGTGAAACAATTCGCTTTAGAAACCTTTTCCTATTTTGCCTATGTAACCAAACATGAAGAAATAGTCGCTTTGACTGTGGCCAAAGACGTAAAGCTGCAAAACATCATTGCCCAGTATTTAGAGGGTATTCCGATCGTAAAGTCTGATACTGAACTTCTCAAGTATCTTAGTAGTATAAAAGTTCCTTTTGTTCATAAGTGTAGAATTAATAATTCCAACATTGAGAAAGATAATGTAGAACTCAATCCGAGTAAAAAGTTCAAAAGTTCTGAGAATGTATTAGTTTCCGTGTTGGAGAAGATTGAAAAAGATTTAAGTGCAATCGAAGAGTTCAAAAAGTGCTCAGAAGAAACACGTAGGTTAGTTTTAGGTTGTATTGCTAAAAGGTTGGACGAGATGGTGTAAATGTTTTTAATCTTTTAGATGTATAGTTGTATATATTACATTTTAAGAACAACATTGTTTTAATACAAAATGTATAAGAGCTTGTGTTGTTTTTCTTCCTGACTTTGATTGTCTTTTTTAAACTTCTCACATTTGATTGAGAATCGAAATTGGTCTTAGGGAGTATGAGAGATAATCTTTTTAAAAATATGACTGAGCTACCATAACAATGTGTAGCCAACTTATAAAAAAAAAAATTAAAACTAAATATTTTACAAAAATCTTTTTAAGAAGAACACTTTAATCATTGGTTTTAAGCATTCCAGTAGTCATTTAAATTTTAGAGTTACAATTTGATTTTAAATTAAGACAATGAGGATTAAGTTTAAATCGTGTAGAGCAGAAATTAAGTTGCTAGTAAAAACTGCATTGTGTATGGAAACATTTTTTGTGCATTGGCGTTAGACCAATACAATATTAAAATTTCTAATGAAATGCTTGTAAATGTGGATATGTGATGATAATTATCACTTTTTAAGGAACAGTCCAAAAAACTTAGTTTTTGTAAGCAGAATGAAATCACTGAAAGGGTATTCCATTTACGTCTTGAACAACTTCTAATTCAGTTAAAACAATTAGATTATAAGGAAAACAGACAACTGATGAATTTGGAGATAAGGAAATTGCTAAAGAATTTGGACTTTCCTCCCAGTTCTGATTGGTATAACCAAAAGTTAGTTTGTTGTGTCCCTTTTTGTAGCATCAACACACAGTTCTAGTCAGAAAGTGAGTGAATTGGCACAGCGTAACAACTCTTTAAGAAAGGTTTGTACTCTTGCTTTTTAAGTTACTTTTCTGCCCTGGTAATTCTTTTTTTTTACTGTGTTTCTTTAATATTGTAAATTAGTAAAATAAGGAGTAGACAAATACCAATGTGGATCTCCATTCCACATTGCACGTTGTTTTTATCTCTCTGTTTTTCTTATGCTATATCAGTTTGTTTATCACCGAGTGAAATTAATCATTAATTAATTTATGAGGTCAAGGTTGGAAGAAATTTTAACCTAGAATCAAAAGCACAGCCATGTCTTGTAATACAGTATTTTGAATTGTTGTCAATAAAAGTTTATGGATGTACAGGATGTGTGTATGACAAGGCTTAAAGTATTTGTTAACCATATCAGAATAAGAATCGGAGACAATAACAACTTTATATATTACATACTCCCTCTCCTACCACAAATACAATTAGGTAGTAAAAGTAAACCAAATTTAGGCTCTTTCGAGAAGCCTTAGACACAAAATATTAAAAATTAAGTTTCTCATGGCAGTTAATATTCTAAAATCATCTTTGGTTAACTTAAAAAAGTAAAAAGCGTTGATAATGCAAAAATTATGTGGATAATTTAAAATAATAAAAATTATACAGATTTACGGCGTAAAAACTATACAGATGTGTACTTTTGTTAGTGTTATCATTTAAATATTTATGTAGTAGCATCTTAACAATAAAAGGCACTGAAACAACAAACAATGTCAATATTGAAAATGATTATACTCGCCAAATAATTATCTGAAGTTTGCCTGTAGCTGACAAATTGTCAGTGCAATAGCATTTGATGGTCTAAAAGTAGATCAGCTGTCTTCGAACATTGGTCTTTTGATGACTCTTTCTGAAATGTTTAGAAAGTTAGCAAACTCAACACAAATCAGTAATTTATACCTGCACAATCTGCTTAGTTATACTATTTTGTACATCAATTTTAATTATAAAACTGGCAAAAAATTTAGCATTGGAATCACATGCCTATCAATAATTAAATTTATAAAGGAATGAGAAGCCTTGTATAGCTTTTTCACCGATTAAGTTCGGCTATTTTTTAGTCTGGACTATTCATTAAAAGCTAAGCATAATTGAGCCCAGTTTCAAATCATCATAGATACATTTTTGTCTTCAACCACTCTTGAGTTCTATAAGTATATAATAACTTATTTACAGATCAACCTTTGCACGATGGACTCAATCAACTTTGTAGTGCTAAGCTTCGTGGCAGCAGGTCTCTGCTATGAAGTTCGGCCCGTAACTTATCAACCTGGAAGCGTTTCACAACTTGAAACCGACAATCCATCTACGACACCTTACTCAGGCAGCCAAGTTGAAGACTGTAACTGTGTTCCGTACTATCTTTGCAGCGATGAACAGATCAAAGAAGCTGAGATACGAGAAGGAACTGGAGACATTAAGTAAGTCATGTAAACCAGTTGAGTATGGATAAATCAATCTTTGCCTATCCGAGCCTCCATATTATCCAATCCTCACTTTGGACGATAGATTACTAGAAATCGCATGCCGTAGTGGTCCCAGAATACCCCTTTTGCCCGCACCAGCCCTGTTTCTATTAGACAGGGGCGGCCAAAAGGGGAATTCAAATCCATTTGTAATTGGTGGGATTTGAATCCTGGACCTCAGGACCTTTTTTCAGGCCCTACATTTTCTTGAGAAGTAAAAACATCAACTGTAGTTTCCAAGCAGAAAACTCAATACAATTAGTAATAATTTAAAATATGCACTTCATCACTTATAAAACCACTATGATAACCCTTCTAATTCTGCAAACGAAGTTGAAAACTGCTAAAAATATGTTACTTATTCTAGGTTTCCAAACGACCAGTGTGAAAATGAATATGAGATTTGTTGCGAACTAGAGGTAATGAAACCAGTAAACAATCTTCTCAACATCTCAACTGCTGTGGGAAACAGTTCCAATAATAATAGCAGTGAGGTAAAAACAACGCGTTATTTAAGTCCATATGAAAGCTAAGTTTAGTGTGTCAAGTACTACCCTATTTCAGAGGTGCCCATTCCTTAAGGTTGGGAGTGCTAATCTCCATTTAATACTTTGATCTTTTTATCACTCCTCCCCATAACTTAGCCAACCCTTTCCACACCGAAAAAATTTCAACGATTTACTTTAGTCGTAAAAAACAGCTTACTGACAATATTAAACGTTTATTAGGAACATCCGTTTCCCAATACGTACTGAATTAAGGGGACAACTAAACGATGGTAGTCATCTATCTCCCACATCATAATGTCGTCATGACAACGATATGTGGTTTCTTGGCCCTATACAGACATTTCCCACAATCGCGGCAACATTTTAACATAGTCTTGGTTGCAAAGACTTCACGTAGTCACTTCCCGTGGTATAAATCTAATCTAACGCTCAACCGATGAGCATCTCATGTCTGAAGAGACTGTTTAGCCATTGATCAATCCAACAGCACTATCATCACTGATAAACAGAAAACAGTAGCATAGTAGTTTTACGTAGTGTAGTATTCCAGATTGCAGCAAGTGTCAGGTAAAGTTGTTGTTAATATTTGATAGGTTATCAAAGCAATGCTTGATATTTTACTTATGACGTCTGATTTGAATTTGCCTTAAGAAAGATCTAAACTTCAAATATAAAGGACAATATGGCGTCTTGTAAGTATAAACTTGTGCATTAATACTTACAACTAATAAGACATAGCTTTGAAGCTGAGTGATTACAGTGCTCGCCTTACAATCAAAAGGTTGTCGGTTCGATCCTGAGAAAAGATAGTAGCTTTTTGATGGTTTGAAACTGAGCCCAGCTGTCCTTGATCGTTTAATAAAAATGATTCTAAACAATGAAACAGCTGATCCTAGTCAGTAATAAAGCTACAAAAGGCATCTCACATCATCCTTTACTAAGGGGTGCCCATTTGGTTTTTTGAAAAAGATTTTATGACAGAAAAAATTGACCAGAAAATTACAAAAAAGAATTTTTCAGAATCATACACCACTCTCTTTACTCACATTTGGGTTAAATACGCACCTAGGTGGCGTCCTCATATCTATTAGCAATGTAAGGTAATTAAATACCGTATTATTTTCAGAACAACAGAAAAGTGTGAAGGAATTGATGTGTGCTGCAAAACTATCAACGGAAATAACATTGCTTTACCTGTTCAGAACACAACTATGTAATTGATGTATAAGCATACTTAGCTTATGTGTAATTTGTATAACTAATTATTAAATGTACAAATTATTAATAATGTTATGTGTATATTGTGTTACGTGTGTATATACTATTTTATCACTCATTAATAAAATTTGTATCTTTGTCATTGTACCAGCTTTGCTACTTTGTAGTTATTGCCCTAGTTCATGTTAATCTACTTGTGTGTTCTATTCATAAAGTTTTACTTCTATTTTAGAATTACTGTGATATAAAGATACATTCATTAATAATAGACACGTTTTAGCCTACTACCTTCTCTATCCAATAGTCAATGCTACTACTTTGTAACAAATTATTTTTAAACAACTGATCACACATCTAACTATTTTAGAAAAAAATATTCCTCGGTAAAAGTTGTAACGTAGTCTACTTTAAAAATATTTCAACAGTAGTTTATTTTTCAGATCAATATTATAGACCATATATTATTGGTGAGTTGGTGGTTCAGTTGGTAGCGTTATGGGCAAGGGTAAGAGTAACTATATTTTCTGGGGAAATCACCAAAGGTGAAGACGAAAACACATTAGAAACAGCAAGCTTTTTACAGCATTGTACCAATTAGTTTGGATCTAAAAGAACCCTAACATATAATTTTTTGTTATTTTACAAGTTTTTATGGGCAAATCAACATTAAAAAATCTAATTTTCCTGGAGATATTATAGATTTGTACCCACATACCAATAGGAGTAGTCTGTAGCTCTGTACATATCCACAAATACATACACACACGCAAACTCAAAACTTTTGATGGAAAGAATACTTTGTCCATGTACCATGAATTTTCTTATAGGGGGTTGAAGTAAAAAAAAAACATAAGAATTGGTTATCTTCATCTGGTACTAAAGATTAGTAAATCTATAAGAGCTGGTTTCTGTTTAAGCTATGGTATGAGTCTCCAAAATATGGAAACTGCATCATATTTGAAGTGGTTTCCCCACTTAAAGCCAAGCCATTTAAATATTTAAATACCTTAATTTATCCACATTACCTGTTTACTTATTTGGAACACTATATTGATTATTGTTATTCAAAGCCAATAAATACATTATGCATTTGCCACAAATGATTCACCACATAACTGATTGACTTTAACATGTCAACAGATCTTAGATAGATGTGTCTATGTACACTAAGTACTTAAACACAACAATTAGATTAATGGCTGGGCCTACTAATAGTAACCTACAGAAAGGGAATGAGGAAAATACTGAATTAATGAGATATATTTTGAACTGATCAACACTCAACAGTCGATTCTTGCACTCTATCAGTTGCCCTTTGGTTTTTATTGTCCATACCATCACCATGGTATTAGTATTACTCCGCTGCACTTCAGAATTCAACCAAACAACACAAAAGTAAACACTGAAATGCCTTCCTTACAGGTTACGTTCTTGTCAAATCAAGTCTGCAACACTGACTTAAAATTAAAATTAATAGATCAGCTGTTGCACTGTTCGCGTTCATTGTTGCCGGGTGTTTTAAAAACAACAATGTCAAATATTAATTTGACTTGTAAAGTAACCTATTTTAACGAATATAATAAAATTCGCCTTCCAGTACTTTTGAATACCTGAAATTGTACTTTAAACGCTGTAGGGAACATCGTAAACATTTATAATACGGTAAATAAGTATAGATAATATTTTAGATTTTACAACAACGGGCGATTTCGTTAAGTTGCATCAGTCATCAATCAATCGAGAACAATAGTATATTTCGTACCTAGGGCCGAAAATGAGAGTTTGGTGACTCGAGATAGTTTTTAAGTTCGAGAGGAAGTCTAGTACTTAAAACGATCGAAAGCTGCAAAACCATTTTGGTCCGTGGTACGAACGCTATTTTTCACCACACCCTATCACCACTATTCATAATGCTCAGTACCAGTCAATACAACTACACCCTAAAGAAAGGGATTCTGCACATCTACAGGAAAATATCTTTCTACCAGTATGCGTAGATTTTCCCTACGATGCACACGAGCTGGGAGGTATTAATGTTTTAAGAACTCTGATTTTCAGCATTTGCCCATTTATTTTACGTGCGCTAGTATTTGTTTACACTTAATCTACTGTTTAGATCAGCTGTTCTCATTGTTTAACAATAATGTGGACAGAATTATGCGTTACCTAGTTTCTAGTTTTGATGTGTTTTAGCTTGTACTACAGTACTTGATTGTTTACTCCGGCTCTTGATCCAATTATTCCCGTCCTCGGGTTCGCCTCGCACGTGAAATTTGATGTTTTGTTCGGGTTTGCCTCACACAAGAGCGCGCACCAGAAAATGCCACTTTCAGTACTACAACTGTAATTAATTTTAGGCCTATTATTCCGATAGTGTACCGCGGTACTCTTCCATTTTTAAGGTACGGTAAGTAGGACAAATTCAATGCACATTTCGTGCGCAAAAGCATCTTTATTACTCAAACTATCAACAAAATACTACTAAGTAACTAACTAAAATACTAAAATGCAGTACAGTGTCAGTTTGCACACTAGTTACACAAATAGCTAAAATGTGCATAGTGACCGTACATGATAACGGTAACCCCGTAGATGATAACTAGTTCAAAAAAACAATTTTAACGAAGACATTGTAGCTATAGTCTGTATAATGGAACCTGTCTCCGGATCCTCCATCTACCTGGGACTGACACGGGCCTTAACCCTTTATCCAACCCCAGGTCCGGGGACAGGTTCCATCATACAGACTATATGGCTATTGGATTACTTCTTTAGGTGTCATTGTCATGGACACTCTAGACAAACTTCAGGTTCGAAAACTTCCGCCATATTGGTGTAACCCAATAAGTTTTTGCATCCAATAAAAAGCTAGATGTTGACCTTGGGGCCAATATTTGGTGTTTCACCAAATACTGTACATAAGAACACTGAGATGGGGTTTTATTGTGTATTTACGCAAGTGGCATTTATTAATGTTTTATTACCTTTTTGTAAGAGGTCCAAATCCTGGTCTTTATACTATCCATCGACCTGTTGTTCTCCCAATGCTTACCACATACGTCATTATTCATGAAATACTAATACAGTAATCTGTTTGGAGAATACAACATCTATGAAATAACGAACAGCTGTTGGGTTAAAGATTATTTTTTCTAGCTGTCACTGGATGTTTACATTAAATGTTGTTTACAAATACTGCAACCATTTGCGACCACATTTTGTAAGAAAATCCAAAACCAAGTGAGATTAAAAACGTTGTGCCATACATAACGGATTTAATTAATTGCAAGTGCAATAATAATGTGTAACTGTAAATTAAATAGCATTTCTAGCCATCATTCAGGTCTTAACCGGAGATTCTCTGTGTGTGTGTGTGTGTGTATCAAACTGTAGTTGAGTTTTGATAACCGGAAAAAAGACCCTGAAACATTGCTGTATACGGAGCTTTTCATGCATACCTGGAAAAATGCAAACTAAATATGCAAACCAACTGCAGTTCTGATTATAAGAAGGTTTCGACTGACTACATGATCCTTCCGTAGAACGGGTACACAGCTAGTCCATATATAAATCCCAAAGTACCCATGAACTTTTGAGAAAACTACAAGTCACACCCCCATAAACCCGGAAATCACATACTTAAAATGTTCGTCATGACGACAAACCTTGCGCAAAACTGTCCATTATTTCATAAATTGCCCTTTAAGTTCGTAATTCCTTTCCATATACCTAAGGCTAAAAATACCTCAGCTGTACTTATTTTTTGTTATTCTTTCCATGTATTACCTTATTGAAATCGTGTTATTATTCGTTTGTATTTCTGTATTCTGTTTTGTTTATTTCATCTTAACTTAACCAATCGATAGTTTTATTAATACCTTATGAAGTCAAACGGGGTGAAGCCCGTGGGTAACAGCTAGTTACAATTAATAATGGCTTTTAATAGAAAATAAATCTGGCAATTAAGGGAATATTGTAGTGAAAATCCAACCATTCACCCAGTCTACAGATTTGCGTCGGTATATTTTGCTTCTACAGGCAAACCTACAATACAAGCAACATCAATTAAAGCAACTCTGGAAAAAATCCTAAGTCCTAAAATCCTAAAGTGGCCTAAAATAAACGGAACCACTGCATCCTAATGGGCCAATGCGATACAGAAATTAGGAAGAGGAAGCTGGTATAAACACAGATGTAGTTAAAGGATCTCAAGGCTTGTGGTGGGGTAAAAAACTATCAGTTTCAGCGCTTGTCTTCACTCAGTCAGCTTCTGGTCGGTGCGAAGCGAGGAAGAGAAGAAGAATATACCTCTCTCCCTTACACCTGTCACTAACACGTGAGTTTAGTTATTTTAAAAATATACAGTATATATATATATTTATATTTTTTCGTATTGGTAATTTGGACTTTATATAGTCATTGTATACAGGTAAAATATTTATTTTAATTAGGCACAGTTCTTTTGAGGTTATACAATTTGTACTGGTATTTTTATTTTGTCTACATTAGAAATACTGTTAAAAAACAAAGACATAACTAAAGTATTAAAAATGTAATAAACTTATAAATTTTCTACTAGTAAAAATCCTGATGGGTAATAGCAATTCGAACAATAAAAATAGTGGAATCCAAGAAACATGAACGATATTAGCTTATTATTATTAATATAATATTTTTAACGGCAGTAGAACATGATTTTGTACGGAGATACTTAATTAATTGTTTTGAGTTAAAATATCTTATATTTGTAAACAGTGCTATAGTTAAATTTTGTAATATGATTATTCAATTTTGTTGATACAGTTTTTTCTTTAAAACACGTAAAAACATATATACCGATATTTCTAGTTTTCGCTAGTCTTTTACTAGTTCAAACATACATAGAACATACACATGTACATACATATAAGTTAAATCCTACAATACATTACTTTTTTGGATTTTATTCAGAACTTTACCAGAAGATGTTCCACAAACAGCTGTAAGTAAACTATGACGTTGTCAACCATGTAGACAACAATGTATATCAGCTGATCGGGAATAAAAAGAAACAGGGCTGCCAAATTATTAGCTTGTTTTGCACCTTAACGCATGTCTACTAGTAGTTTTGGTTACGTTTTTATAAAATTAAACCACTGTACAACGCGTTTTGTGTGGATTGTACTGCATTCATAAACAAAATGACGCTCTTAATTAAATAGTAAGAGAAATAACTATCAGTGGGTATAAGCATTGAAAGGGGATAGAAAAGTCCACAATAAAAGCTCAAACTCCCTAAACACGAAGTTCTTTAGAAGATTGTATGACTTTCCTGACTGATGTGCTTCAATAGGTTTGACTATTTAAAACATTATGTATAGTGTTAACTCTTGGCAGGAATTTAATTTGTATTTTTTTACTAATTTTGTAGCCTCCAGAACTGCTGAATTATAAAAGTTATCAAGGTTAAACTACGTGTTTTTACGTGTTATCAATACGGCTCAAGCAATCCCTGTTTTTAGTACAATTAATATGCATACATTTTGGGAGTGGGAATATATGAGTGATACCATAAGCTGGTCTTCAAAAACACGAAACATCATCTTCGCAGGTTAAAGTTAACTATTGCATATGTTGATCGAATTCGAGCAATTACAAAGTATTTCAGGCGTTATTTCAAAACGAATAACAGTCATAATTTCCGACGACTTAAAAGAGTCAACTCAAAGATAATGTAATCAATCACTCCACTCCAGTTATCGAAACTGAAAACGAACGCTCCTGTGTGTGTATCATGAACAGCTGTAATAATTAATACAAATTATTCGTCTGTAGTCAACGGTTTAATTAAACAAAATCTGTTCTTCATAAGAAATACATTGGGATTTTGATGGCCTATGGGGCAAAGCCCGAGGACTTTTATTACAGGAATTTGTGAAAGGGGCGTATACACCAAAAATACTTAATTTTGACACATCGTTTGTAAAAAATCCGTCCATTATTAACGGAGGAGTAGTGTTTCGTAGAAATCGCCTTCACGTATTATATATAAGGTTTGCCGTAGTAACAGTTTTTTAATTTTCATAGATCCTCATGAGCAACAATGGTTAAAAGAAATACGTAACAGACAACTTTATGTGCCAAACATGATAAAATCATCATTCGGAACAATTCTATGCGTTATTTAACTTCTTTGACTTATAAATCAGGTAAATTAAAAGTCAAATATTGATAAAATCACAGAATTTGAAATCCCCGACTTCAGATTGATTCCATTATTTGAAAAAGGGAGTGAATATTCAACACGAGTCAACTTTTTTCACCCAAGGTTGATTTTTGCATTTATTTTCGCATTTTTGAAATCAAATGCAGACAGAAAAAGTAGTCAGCTTAGGGTGATCAAGGGTTTTCTTCAATCCAAAAACGTGAACCCAGTTTCAATCTCGTGCTGGAAAAGAATAAAAAGTTCTTTAGAATAAAATCAATTCCTAAAAAGGCATAAACATCCGACACGACTTTTGACAATTTAAAGCACAATGTAAATTGTGTTATTTGTTTCCTTAATAACGTGGGAAATTTAAATTTCCTTTTTTTGGAATCCTCCAATAGGCTATATTCAATTATTTGTTTTAAGCTCTACAAAATGGTTTAGATAGGAATTGGAAAATTTTATGTTTTGAGGATGATAATTGGGAAACCCCTATTTTCATCCCATAAACCCTCGTTTCCACAGTCCGATCAAATATTTGAACGGATGGCATTTTCGGCCTCTAGGGACATCAAAACGAAAAAGTAAATCGGTCTCGGATCCAGCTTTTACAATGATACCTACAAATACCATATTCTTTGGGAAATTCGCTAAAAGAATATTTTTTAAGTGACAAAATAAAACCGTAATTAATAACAGTGGAAATCATTAACCTTTATTCCACTTTTGGACCTGCAGACTGGAACTTCCGCATTTCGTCCTAATCCAGGAAACCCTATTTAGATGTATTTGCTTCGGGAGGATAATTTCCGAAAGATTGGACAAACAACTCATTATCACACCAGGACCATGTGTTTATAGTCGTTGGGTGTTGGACATTAATGCGGGGCGTTTGAGGCGGTACAGTCGGGGGCAAACATACTGTAGTGTCAACTCCGTCAACTTGGCCTGTCAAGTGTAAACTATCCCTGTCAACTTTGATTCTCAACCACTGTCAACTACCAGCGTGAGTCAACAGAGGGATTCGTCCATAAACTTGAGGTATTGATTTAATTTGATTTTACCAAAGTTGGTTATGCATTTAAAAACACTCAGTGGTCGAAAACTCAGCAAAAAATTTGACTTTTTTATTTTAACTCCACGCTATAGACATGTGATTGAAATTTCTTCCATTTGTTTTGATTTTCAGTATATATTTCGTTGTTTCGTCACCAACATGGCAACCCATAAGACCCATGTTATTTTTTTTGTTTTAAATGAATTGTTTGTGCTTATATTGAGCCTATTTTAATGTATAAAGTATTCTGCACATCTACAGGAAAATATATTTCTAACAGTATGCGTCGATTTTTTCTTCGATGCACACGAGCTGAGAAAAAAGGTTTTCAAAAAACATGCCTATTAATCTATAGGATTTTGGTATAGTAGGTTAGTAGATTTTTCTATTTGTCGTAGCCGTGTATTTATTTTATTCTAAGTTGTCTCTTTATCTCCTTTCGTTGGCTTTTCCAACGGAATTCTATGTCTTTACGGTATGAGTGAATTTCGACTTCTTGTGTACTTAACTTTTTTTAAAGCTACAAACGTAAATACATTGTATTTAAAATTATTTCCCAATTTCAGAGGTAAAGTAAATTAATTGTTTTTAATAGAGGATTATAGCTTTAGTTAACAACTACAAGAATCTTACATAGGGGGTTTTAAAGATTATCGTTTGTAAATTTTAGAAAACTAATTTATAAGTTAGACCTGCGAGGGTGTCAAATAAAACATCAAGGGCGGTTTATACTTCAAAACCCCAACAACGACACCCAAACATTAATTTATCCCTTACCGTAACATGTTTAAGCTTAAGGAATCAGTTTATTTTTGCAATCTTACATGCCAAATTCAATTTCGAAAGGGGTTATCTTCGGGGACTCAAATTTAATGTTCATTTAAGATAATTTCTCAGATATTTTCAGTTTGCAAGCTATATTTATCTTAGTGTGTTGAAGATAATAAACTCAGTAGTTTATGTTTCACACCTAAATTTAATATATGACTAGAAGTTAATAAATTCGAACAAGGGGTTGGGGAGCGTGGCTTTTGTCCTGATGTTTTGGTTTTAAATCATGCTATAATGAGTTAATTTTACTTACTAAATTAATTGAATGTGTTAATCACTTTTGACTGCGGCAATTCCTGGGCTCTAGTCTAAGGTTCTAGGAAAAAACAAGACAGTTCTTTTAAGCTGTAATTGGTTATTATTGGAGAAATAAATGACACTATTAAAAGTCATAAAACGCATAAAAATACCGATAGTTTATATACAAAATCTAGTTCCTGAGGCCTTCGCAACATGGTGAAAATGCAGAAGAGATTAGAATCAAGAATCAAGAATTTTTGTTTCCATAAAATGCAGTTACATTACTGGAAAACGTCAGTACAACTACAGCTAAAATAAAAACTGAAATAAGAAAATGGTACAAGGTTTCTTATCAATATAAAGAATTAAATCCCTGAAACTCTCCATGCCGAGAAAAAAAAACAGCACACAATACTCGGTTAAAAAACTAAAATAAACTACTTACGTATTCTTCTTTCAGATCAAAAAATTCTTTATTTTTGTACAAAAGGTTTGCCAAAAGGAGCCCCTCAACCCCTTTTCTGAATTTTGGGTCTGGCAGGTTCCGAGCTACAAAAGGAAGTTTATTAAAAAACTTATAACTAAGAATATCATTCAACATCTGAACTTTACTTAATCTAACATGTGGTAAATTGAGATCATTTTTCCTACGTGTATTATAGGGATGGATGTCGCCTCTCAGCTCAAGAGAATCCCATTCCTTCTTGATTTTGATCAAAGACTGAAAAATATATTTTAAATGTGGTTTAATACTTACGGAACAGCTGAAACCAATTTTATTGTTGTACGTCGCACTGTTGAGATCGTTTTTGTTTACAATTTGTTTCTTGTTATTTTAGTAATTTTTAACCTCGTTTGGCTAAATAAAATAATCTGATCATAAACAATAACTCGTCCCCTAGTTATATGACCAAACAGTAAATCACAAAATCATTAAATTACCCCTAAAATAATACAAACAAAATCTTGTCGGCACCAGCGATCAGTGTCACGGGAAATGAACTAGACACAAAAACGAGCT